GGTGCCATGTGGGGAGTCAAGCATGCCAAAACTCCATTTTCTTTCTTGTTCCCCTCTACCCTAGACCTTCTTCTTTATATTATGATAATTTCCTCGTATCTGATGTAATTTTTTTATTGTCCTTTCAATTCTTTAACAACATATTTCTGATTCTTTTTTTTTTTTTTAATCTTTTTCAGGCTGGAAATCAAGACTCGACACAGAGAGAAAGGAGAGAAACATTTAATTTTTGGTTGCTGTTCAATTTCTCAGTTTTTTTACAGATTAGTTGTGCTGCTGCACTTGGATTTCTATGTTGTTTTGATAGAGCCTCAATTTGTATCACTTGGGGCCTTCTATTTCCTTTGTATAATCACTTACTTCGACTGATTACTAGTAAAATTATTCTCTTTACCTTATTATAATTTTTTTGCCCTTTTTGAAAAAATATATATAATTACTTCGAGTTATGTCCTGATTATGGATAAACTTTGTCTCAATGCTGACAAACACAATTTGAGAACTGTAGCTTCTCTCCCTCTCTCTCTCCTGGTTTTTCAGAACGGTAGTTTTCTATATATTCTTGGTACTTTCGGCCAAATCTTGCCGTTTGTTTTCAATAATGAAAAGACAAAGGATACGGTCAAGCCGGTTACCACGTCGTCTTCCCCAGTTATGTTTTCCTTTTTTTTTTTTGATACGGAAATATTCTGCATCGGTCATCACAACGATTAGAATATATCGTCGGGACTGTAAGTCGCTCGCAAGATCTTACAGATCGTCCCATCAATACAGTTCTCGTATCGCTGCTCACAAGGGCTAGCTAGTTATGTTTATCAATCCTTGGTGATCTTGCTTTAGAAAATGTGTCACTTTTCCCAAATTTCCTAGTTTTCTTTTTGGTATTATTATGGAAACATGAAAAATATTGTGGATACACTATAAATGTTAAAATCCTTTTTGCTTAAGATTGATCTTACTTTGCCCAAATCGCTTTTTTTTGTGTGTGTGTGTGTTTGTTATAATTGTGGAAGTATAAAAATATTATTGATACACTAAATATGTTCAAACCGTTATTAGAGACATGACATCACATAGTATCAATATAATAATTTTGTTATTTTCTTCATCATTTTAAAGAAGATCAACAACGACTATGTGTGCACTAATTATCATTTTCGATGATTCAAACTACAAACCTACAGATTAAGAGTGAAATTAAGTATCTTACTAACTAAATCGCACTTCAATGTCTAATTAGAACACTGGATGTAAATTAATGCTTTGAATTCATAATCAAGAAGGGTTTTCAACACAAAAGCTCATATATACAACTTCTCTATTCTGCTTTTTCTCCAAAGAATTGATATCTTTCTCAGTAGCAGCTAATCTTTTCTTAAGCTGCAGGTTAATCGTTAGATGATATGCCCTCTGCAGCTTGCTTGCTCCTTGCACTTCACTGTACAGATGCTGAAAAACAGTTGCAGATGAATTAACTTCAAAAAATATTCCATTTAGATGTAACCAATAAGTAAGTAAATAAAGAACAAGAATCTTGCATTTAAACTATTTTTGATCGATTTCTTTGAGTTTAAAGCGTCTCGCACTCTTTTTTTGTGCTTCAATATCACCATAAAACTTTCCTTTTTGTTGTTGGGCACATTTTTAGTCTTTCCAAGGATCTTCTTCTCTTCCATCTGATCAAAGGGTTTCTCCCACTTTTTAACCGATGAAATAGGCACTTGATCTATTTTGCGAATTTAGAAAGGAGATTTAATGAATTCCATCAATTTTGATTTTCACCTTGCACTTGTTTAATTTTTCATAAATCTTTAATCGAGCTTGAATCTCCTTCTGAATCAAAATTTGTAGATGTGCAACCTTTTCTTTAGTGGTCAAATACTCCATTTTTGCAGAGTGTTAAAAACTGCAGTAAATCAAGGAGAAGCAAAATTTTCACATACCCGAGTGCAACATTTTTTCATCAGATAGCTTTTGATCAAACAAGTGAAATCAAATCAAAATAAGCAATGAAATCATATATAACAAAAATATGTACCTCAAGAATTTTCTAGAAAATTTTCTCACAACCAACAAAAAAAAAAAAAAAAAGAAAAATAGTCGCTGGAAAAAAAATCAGCGATAATTTTATCAGTTTTAGTACTAATTAGCAATTACAGACGTAATTATTTTTTTAGAAAAGTAAACAATCTTTTTTCTTTTCTTTTTAATTTTTTTCACACCCTCTCATCCCATCCCATCCCACACATTTCTCACCCTTAACTTCGGACGGGATTCAAATTATAAATCTGACAACAAAAAAACTTTAAAAACTCTCCTTTGACCACTGAAATGTATCAAAGCAAACAATCCAACAAGAATATTACTAATCAGCAAAATTTTCTCATAATAACAACGAAATAAGCAGAATTTTGGAAAGAAATCAAGACTAAACTGAGAATAAAATGTGGTCAAACTTGTGGTGGTATCAGCGATGGCTGTGGGAGAATTAATGAAGGCAATATATGAATCAATCAGTTCGTCCCCTTTTGCCCATTTTGCCCAAACACGCTCATTGTCGCGTTTGGAGCACGATGTTTTTGTTGACCAGGTAATCCCATGTTTGGCTAATTGACTTTTCTAAACATCAAAGGGATATTAATACTAGCAATAGTGTATTAGAGTAATTATTTTCTAGTCATAATAATTTCCACTAAAATTTCATATTTGTCCTCCTTAGTCAACAATCATGGGCGGAACTAGTAGGTGTTGGAGAGAGATCCACCCCTCAAGTTTTTTTTTCTTCGAAAAGTTGAATTTTTTTTTAAAATTTTCTATGTAATTTAAAATTTTGTCCCTATAAAAATTTAAAAGCATTTTAAATTATATATTTAAGTTTTAATTGAATTAGAGTTTGCCTCCTCAAAAGAAATTTTCTGATTTTGCCTATGTCAACAAATATAATCCCATTAATTGTTGTAGGTCGTGATCCGGTTTTTTTTTCTTCCTCAAAGGTAGAAACACATACACACCCACTACACTCAATGGCGCAGGAAGCATCGAGAAATCACCCCAACAGAACAATCTAAGGGGGATTCACATAGAAATCCTATCCAACCAATTAGTGACAGGAAGGGCTTCCCATGAACCTTAAACTCAGAATAAAAACCCCGCGATCTTTCGTGATCCGGTTGGAAGCGCTTGAATTTAGCGGTCAAAAACTCATGGCGGTGGAAGATTTAAATGACGGCAATATATGAATCCATCTGTCCGTGCGCCTTTTGCCCATTTTGCCCCAACACAATCATTGTCGAAGGGTAGTATCGCCTTTAGCAGGGTAGTATCGCTTGAATTAGCTGCTAATTCCAGGAGAACCATATGATACTTTATCATCCACGAAGGCGAAATTATTTTCAAGGGTAGTAGAATATATTGCTCCTCAATTTTCTGTTTTGGATTCTGGTTTTTCTCAGAAAAATTTATACGTTTTCAGTGAACATATTTTTAATTATTTTTTCATCTCACGTATATTAAATCGTTTCAAACAACTGTACTCTTCCTTCGTTCTTATTTATCTAATTCGCCGTTGATATAATCTAGTGCGTGCTATTAGTCTAACAATCTTTAAGGCTAAAAAGTCAACTTCTTGCATGAACCAAGCCCGACAAAGTAGAAAATGTTATGAATACGGTAAACCATGTTGCAAACATGATCTCACTCACATGGTCATTATAGTAAAATTCCATACTCAAAACGAATAATATGTGGCATGGATTTAATTGACGTACAGCAGCCCCAAATCCAGACTCCACATGATAACTTTTGAATTTAAACTGCTGACTGCATTTGAGCCACATGATATGACTTTTAAACTTAAGAAGTGTTATTAACCATTCTTACTTTACTTCTGGGTGTTAGTGTTACCCATTTGAGCCACATTTTTAAAAAATTTTTCTAACAAACGAAGGGTGGAATTGAAGAAGGGAGAGGGGAGGGAATGAAATTCAGGACCTCTATGTCCTAAGTGGGAGGCAAGGGCTCAAACCTTGTCTCCCATCAAAATGCCACATTTAAGTGGTTTGCTTCAAAAAAAATTCAGGCGGGTGTGTTGTGCACCCGTTTGGTCCGGTGATGGTTCAGTCCCCTCCGAGTTATATTTGGGCCTCCTTAGGTCCACCCCCTCCCCCTTAATATAGAATAGATTAGGTTATTCAACTGTGTCGTCTCCGAAAGAAAAAAAAAATGTCCTGAGTGGGTTGTCAACACGGCCGCACTCCATTTGGCATGAAAAAAAGCCCGATAAACCTTATGTTTAACAAGACTAGATAGTGTTTGAAGCTAAATAATAGGTCTGAATTAAATGTGAATTGAATTTTGGGCATTATTGGGCTTATACCCAATCAAGGTCCGGCCCATTCATATGTATAATTATATATATAATTGCATATTAAATTATATATATAATATATAAGTATACATATTATAACATTAAAATATTAATAATTTATAAATATTAATATATCATGTATAATTATGTAGTTAATTATGAGGTTGGGTTGAACCCGGTATAAATCCAAAATTCATATTAAATGATGAACCGAACTTGAGTCTTCTAACCTAGGCCAGAGCCTAGAAGCTCGAAAGTCCAAAAACTTCATTTATTTTTTGAATCGAGATTGATCTTGTTAAGACCCCGACTAATGGAGCCCCGTTGACATCACTTGAAATCCTCGGTGACATGTTTTTCTATGCCAATTCAATGTCACCTATAGTATTGCGCCAAGTGTCCCGTTATTATTTACACTTTAATTTTCTAATAATTCAACTTGGTTTGGTTTAACATAAGTGTAAATAATAATAGGACACTTGGCACAATATTATAGGTGGCATTGGATTGGCATAGAAAACATGTCACCGAGGATCCCAAGTGCGTTGACACCCCCTCGTGAAGCTTCAACCTACCCATTTGTGCGACACTACTATAGTATACATGCACAATACGGCTTCGGCCTCCGTTTGACCAAAAAAATCCAACTTTATTGATCTGGGCGATAGTGCTTTCAATTCATAATCCAGAACAGGCGTCGACACAACCTCTAAGTTGTTCAAGATGCTCATACAATTCCTTTCTTTCGCAATCTATTTTTTCCAGTTTTTTTTCCAAAGAACTAATCTCTCTTTCGACAGGAGGCAATCTTTTCTGAAGCCCCTTAATCTTTGAATAATACGCCTTCTGTTGCTTGCTTTCTCCTTCAAGTTCATTGTACAGCCGCTGAAAAACAATTGTACGTAGAGGAGAAACTTCAATATATGTACGTACATCCATATTCAGTAAAAACTGCAAAAACAAAAACATCTTACATCCAATTGACTTTTGATCGATTCCTTTGAGTTCAAAAGCACCTCTCCTAATTGCCAGTGACCCCAACTTTTGGCTTCAAGATTTGCGCATGACTTTTCTTTTTGTTCTTGTGCACACTTGATTTCTCTGAGGATTTGTTTCTCCTCTGCTAAGGAGTTTCTCCCACATTTAAGCCGATGAAACGAGCACTTAATCTGTTTATGCAAAGTCGGATTGGAACAAAGTTTGTAATTCAGATGGTATACTAATTGAAATATGTTAAATTGATATCCAAAGGAAAAAATTAAATCATATGCAGTCAAAAACAATTTTTTCTGATTCACCTGCTTTGTAAATTCATCGACATGATCATACTCATCTAGAGCTCCCTGTAAATATCGAATCGCATCAACTTTGTAGTGTCCATGGTACAGAGATAGGTTCTCTAATTGTGTTCGAATATGGAATCGATCAAACTGTATTGGATATATAGTTTTAATGGAAGAAGAAAAGAAAACAAATCTTAAGATATTAGAAAGAAAATTGAAGAAGTTGGAACTGTCAGTGTAAGAGAAAGATTGAGGTCATATATATATGGTATCCAAATTTTACCTCTCTCTTCTGTAATCTCTGAACAATCTCAAGTCGAGCTTCATTCTTCTGATGAATCAAAGCTTCTGCACTTTTAACTTTTTCTTCAAGATTCAAAATCTCCATGACCCAAAATACCAATAAGCCTGCTGTCTATCAAGATTCAAGGAGGAATGAAGTTCACCACATATCTTCAAATTTATAGCTAGGCAATTAGCAAGTTTACTAGGTCGATAAACAGTACTTCATTCATCAAATAATAGCATTAAGAAATGAGACGAATAAAATTAAAGCATACTACATATAAAATCAAAACAAACTTAACAGTAATTATGAAAATGCTGGTGAATTTTTATTTTTATTTTTTTTTTAAAAAGAAGCATACAATTCATTTCTGAGTTTTAGTCCTACTTAATAAGGGAAGAATTTGGGAGGAAATGAATACCAACCTGAGGGAAAGCAGGTGGTGGGATCAAATATGGTGGTGGAACCATCTAAGGAAGGCAATGAATTATTTTCGTGTTGGAATAGAATAGAATTGTGGACCAGGTTTACTCCATGCATGCTTTGCAAGCAAGGCACTTCCTCCCCAAGTCAACCATGTTAATTAATTGCCTTAATCTTTGGCTAATTGACTTTTTTTATTTATTTTATTAATAAAGGAGGAGTAGTTTAGAGGTTCTAGTTTGTTTATTTGGGTTTTGCTATTCTCAAATGACTTTAAACACCTAATTTTAGCTTTAGAGAAAAAAAAAAATAGAGAGCTGTTGTTTGTGTTCTTAGTTGCTTTTTAAATCCTGGTTTTAACTTTTCTATAGGAAAAATGGCTGAAGATAGAAGCAACAAAAAAGGCACTTTTAGATTCTGGAAGTCAGAATTAGTTGATAGGAAGAGATTAAGGATAATATCATGTTTAGATTGTTATTTTCAACGTTCTATACAGCAAGGAAAAATTTGTGATTTCTTAATTTCCGTGTTCTTTGGAATTTTGATAATTTCAATGACTTTTTGTGACTAAAAAGATTTTTTGAATATTGGTTAGGAATAGAAACTTGGCATAGGTTTTGTATTGAACTAAATCTACAATTGGCTTACCATTTGTCAATATCAAATATCTTAGTTAATATTTGTCAAGCTTTTCGGAAGCGGTATGAGGATTATGTAAAAAAAAAAAAAAAAATTGTAACAGAAATTTTGCACATAATAGTTTTTCTGAAATAAAAAGGATTTTTCAAACGGGTGCTCACAAGGCACTCATTAACATATTTAGTATTCACCTAACCTATCATATATATACACATACTAACAATTATTATCCTCTCTTGCATTTATATATTTTTTCTATTTAATCTTGTTTATGCTTCCTTATATTTATTTACTTTCGCTAATTAATATTATATTTTCAAAAAAATATATATCTTTACAATAGGGCACTCGTTAGACAAATCGAATAAAAAAATCAGGGGATAAAATGGGAAACGGGATATACCTTAAGGGGATTAATTGAAATTAATACTTTTATTTATTTCAATGGCCTTTCCATAAACGAGAAGTTATTTCAATTTCGTTTTAGTGCCAAAATCTTTACTATACTAAAAGTGCGAGTTGGAGTTGCTACAGTGCCCATGGACCGGTTATCCGGTAATTTTGAGCAACTTCGGTGGCTTTTTCATAGGCAAATAGATTGGTTATGCTGTAAATTTCGACAATTCCAATGGCATTTCATAGGAATTTGTTTGGATTTGCCCTCTTGCTCCAGAGTTCAGACGCTAAAATTCTTTCCCCTCTCCCTCCAGTGGCATTTTTTAGGAAGCATATATGTGCCATATATAAAGCTTGATGCCCTTTACGGTGTTGTATTGTTACTTCTTTCTTCTTCTTTCTAATTTTGTTTGCCTTTATTATAAAGGATAAAAGGGATTTATTCTCTAACAAAATAATAAAACAACAATTTTACTATAACTTCGAATCTTCCCATATTTTTACGTTCAATTTCTCCATGTTTATCTACTATATTTGACACACATTTCTTCAATTTTTCTTTATTAACATCACCGAAATTAAGCCCATGCACTTGTTTCCCCTATAATACTTCACTTTTATAAGAGAATTATTATTACAAATATTTTTATTCTAATTAGTTATACACACATCTGAGTGTGCCTTGATCACTATTATGTATAACGAGAAAAGAATTATTGAACATGTTTGAACTAATTCTTGATAAGAAATTTCAGAAAAGTAATGTACTACCAACCTTTAGCTTTAGATACTTTTATTCGTATTTTCTTCATTCAGAGTTTTAATTTTTGTTTATATTCTTAATTAGGCTTGCTATAAAAATTGAAACCTAGAAATTGGAACATTCGATTTGTTTTCTTAGGGTTTGGGTGTATGTATGGTGGAAATTGGACCAGTTTTGAGTGCTTCAACTTTTAGATATAATATGGCATATCCATTATTATCCTCTTTAGTTCTCTTCGTGTAAGGCATTAATAGTGCAATATCATGCAAGCAAACTTTTCTTGCTGCAATAGAACGATGAAACTTGGCATCTTTGTGTTTGATTCACGTTGAAAGCAGCATCTTACATTTCCACTGTTTTGCATATGTAGCTTTACGAAATATTCTTTAATTATCTTACATTTCAACCAAGAGTTTTAGAATATACAGTATACACCTATCATTTTTGGATACATGTCATATATACAAAAGTTGATATTAGAATTCAAATTTGGATTAAAATGTGAAAATGTATACTGTCAATATAAACAAGAGGGTCCTCCTGTTTTGGGAAAAAAAATTAAAAAAAATATGACGGAATCCCGTGGCCATGTAAACATTTTTTCTTTTTTTTTTTTTGCAAAAGGATAAACTTTCTTCATAAAAAAAATATGCAATTTAAGAAATGGATTATAGTTTTTAAACTTTTACAGTAGTCCCAATTTTTCTTTCGAGTATGAAAAAATGATTCTATAAATACATATTTTCGGATTTTAAACACGAGTTTGTTACTAAAAATATGAAGGTATCCCGTGGCTGTGTAAACTTTTTTTTTTTGCAAAAGGATAAACTTTCTTCATAAAAAAAAATATGTAATTTAAGAAATGGATTATAATTTTTAAACTTTTAAAGTAGTTCCAAATTTTCTTTCGAGCATGAAAAAATGATTCTATAAATACATATTTTTGGATTTTAAATACGAGTTTGTTACGCCATTTGTAAAATAGATCCACCACCTAAATTATGGGCAACTTCGGTGGCTTTTGCATTCGTGCTTCAGTTGTGTGCTTGGTCAACTTTGGTGGCTTTTGTGTTTGTGCTTCAGTTGTATTTGTATCTTCATTGTATAGTTGTAGTTGCTTGAGCTCCCTGGTGAGTGGGCGGTGGGTGGTGTCCGAAGCGGTCTGTGGGAGCCGCACAAAACTGTATTGCCTATGTAATCTTGAGAGAAAGCCATATGAAAAGCAATATATTGGATGTGTTTCTTTCTCCAATTGAAGACTTGGATTTGGCGGTTTTACAAGGTGAAGTCTTCGCACTCTCACCTAGCTGATCTTGTTTAAACTTATTTCATTCTTGATTAGATACAAATAGTGTGTGCATAATTTTAAAAGTGATCAGCATCACCATATTTATGATATATGTATGTACTTGTACATTTTAAATGAATGCATCATTTATTTATAATATCAAGAATTCGCAAAAATCTTAAGCCAAAGACTGACTATCTAAGAGAAAATTATAAATCAAATGAGTAAACGAGTAACAACAATATTCAATTTACCTAAAGTCAAATTCTCCACATTTATTAACACCTATCATGTATTAAATATATAACCATTTTACATTAATCCACTTGCCTTCATTTGATCTTGATTAACATAGACTAGGGCATCCTCACGCATTGCGTGAGGCTGAAAAAACTAGTGAATTATAAAGATACGACCAAAAACAGAATAGAAAATTGCATTGGAAAAGCTTCCATTAGCTTTAATTATTGTGGTTGTGCTTAGTGGGTAATTGTGGGGTAGGCGTGCTGTTAAAACTTGAAAAAGGGCTAGCTAAGTTTAGCGAACGAGAGTTACCCCTTCGGGTTATCCCTCCGGTGGTGGTTCAGTCCCCTTTGAGTTATTTTTGGACCTCCTTAGGTCCATCATCTCCTCCTTAGTGTAGAATAGAATAGGTTTATCATTTAAAAAAAAAAAAAAAAGTTTAGTGAACGAGAGTGACTCCAAGTACTTGCTTCAGCCTTTGATTTACACTTGCTCTTAGTAGAGCCCCTTTAGTGAGAAGCGTATTGCCAAAGATTGAACAATCTTTTCTACTCCGATATCCAAACAGAAATCAAATGACCTTGCATCTGCAGTGGTTCGTTTATCATGACTACGCTAGTTATGTCAATAAATAGAGTTTGAAATGGATCTCTTTAATCCATATTCAAACTCATTAAATTTAATTAAATCGAGACTTAGGTCCCGTTTAACAGATGAATTATTTTGGTGCTTATCTAAAATTTTACTGTAATTTATTGTAGAATTTGCAGAAAAAAATTTTAAAATGTAAAACTTTTTCTTTTATTATCTTTTCTTATTCTTTCTTTCTTTTTCCTTTTCTTTCCTCTCCATTTCTTCACCTTCACCTCATCCACTTGTTGGCTGCCCGCGCCGGCAGCAAGAGAAGGTTTTTTTTTTCTCTCTCTCTCTCTCCCTGTCTTCTCCCTCTCCCTCCCTCTCTCCTCTTCCCTCCTCTCTTCTCCCCTCTTTCTGGCCACCTCTCTCAAGTTCAAAAACCTTTCAGATTTCCATTGGTATAAGGATACTTTTCTGACTAGAATCTATGATAGAGCAGATGGTAATCAAGCCAATTAGAAAGAAAGGTTCCTTAATAGCCTTCTTAAATCATTATGAGACTTAGTCCAAGACGAGCTCCAAAATCAGTATGATCGTGTTGTTTCATGAGAAATAATCACCTATAGATAGCTTATAAGCCAAATCCAACAAGTTGCCTTAAAAGTTTATAAGCAAGACAAGAAGCTTAAACAATTTGCAAAAGATATAGTACAACGAAATAAGGATCTTGGCTATTTCTATGAGCAATTTGGTCTCTCAAATTGTCATAGGTTCTATTTTGGACTCTTAAATAATAGACGTGATTTCACATTAGCCTTTAAAGTCCAATTTTGGGTACTTTACCTCATAAAACACAAATGCTGTCCTACTTCAGCATAATTATTGACAACATTGTTGAAACTAATGCAACAGTAGGCAAGTA